AGGCGTTGTCACCAGCTGGGTGAAAGCATACGTGGTCAGAAATGAATGTTGTTGGGTTCAGAAACTCCGACTGGATGCATTATTTGTACGTTTTGGATCGGAACGTCGTGTGCATGCTCAGCAATAATGGTTCAAAAAGATTAAATCTGTATATTCCAATGTGAATACGCTAACGGAACATACGTGTTTGTTTGTTTGTAGGTTTTTTGCCGTGACATTTTAAAGTGCGTTACCATGTACATATCCAAGCCAGGAAAAAACAACCCTGTTCCCATTTATAGTAACTTAATGCAATACATGTATCAGGGTTTGTCTCACGAACATTGACTTCCATGGGTTATTAGCTTTAGGAAATTATGTAGGATGTATTTGCTGGCTCAGAGACTCCCTTGCATAGCAGGATTGTTGACAGTGTCTGTCTGACTTGTCGAAAGCCACTGTAAGAATTATAATTTGTAAAGGTTAACGCGTCGTTACCCTAGAATTACTAAGTTCGATCTGCCGTGTACCTTGTTTTGAGAAATTTGACTTCAACAATTTAGAGTTTTACAATATATTAAACTTTATCTAATGCAATTCTTTGAATAATAATATCTTGATAACGACTCCGAATAATATTACGATTTTGATAGAGCAGAATTGGATAGAACATAATTTGGTTTCTGACCTCAAGGTCTTAGCAACTCAAAATAGGCAAAAATGTCATATAGAACTTTGTAAGTCTGAGGTAGCAACGTGGGTAACGTTGATAACCTGCAAGAATACAAACTATGTAGTTCCCCAGCAGGCACTGGGCAGTCTTCTTACTTCTGTTTTACGTTTTACTACGACGTCCTCCTCGACATTTATTCTGGGTTAGCAGCTTGTGGGTTCGTCAAACGATAAGAATGCAGCTGAATTTATTGAGACAGGGTCTGTTATTCTACTCGAGCTCTGAGACTGACCTCCTCGATTTTCAGACTGGATTTTAAAAATACAGCTCCGGTTTAGAAGGCGCTCTCAAGTTTTTATTACGCTACAAAACTTGCTTCTGTCGTTTGGTTGAGTTGATTTACAGTTTGTTTTGTCTTGGCGACTTGCCTGGGCTGACCTGCTTTTCATTTCGTGTCCATCTTAAGTGTCACTGTGGTTTTTCTCTCGCGGAACAAGGCAAGTTCTCGACAAATAGTTTGATCACATGACCTGTCCTAGGTGTTGGCCTATACAGGATATACGAGTAAAAAGTAAAGTTGTTCCCGCATCCGATCCGGACATTGGGGATTGCCTTGTTATTGAGACAACTTCCTGGGCCTTCGGCAGATAGTGGTAGGGTGGCCAGTTCCTTTTCACGCCGCCTTTACTTCCCCAACTCGAAGTCAAGTACCCATAACTGCTGGGTGGGCAGGAGGGGGCAAAAAAAATCCTTTCCCGAACCGAGGCTCGAACCTGGACTCTCCGCTTTGGAGAAGAGCACACTAACCGCTCCGCCACCGCATGCGCACCCACGAGATACGAGAATTATCTCTACTAGAACTACAGACGTGAATTATGCTATCTTAGATCCGGCATGGCATGGCCGCCGGTCTTTACCCCCTATAAAAGCTTCGCTGCCCTGGTGCGAGGATGGGAGCGCAAATGATGGGCAAATTGCTAGTCTCTCTCTAACATTTATGTGCGTGCAACATTTCCCTCACTGCCCTTCATTTGGTTCCAGAGAGAGTCAAATGGTGCGCCTCATGGTGAACTAGAATTACACCAGAGTTAGCCTTGGACAAAGAGTCTACATAACAAAAGGGTTCACTCCTCTCTTTGAGCCAATTAAAAAAGTGTCCTCAAAATTCGGTGACGCCCTCTTCGCAAATGAGCACCCTTTGCGAACAGAGTTACCCTATTTGTGTGGAAAAAATCAAAGTGAAACTAACAAGTTTTTAAATGAATAAGAATTCAAATTTTGGAAGAACGCTTTTTTAAAATGATTACGCTGACAAAAAAAACACTTTTCCAGGAGAAGGGGCGACTGTTTTCTTCGTTTAATTTGACTTCTTTGGAATGAGAGGCGAGACGTCATTAAAATAAAAAAAACACCCCTAAAACTCCGCACTGAACGAACCCGAACAGCTGATGAACAGCAGTCGATCTGCGCTCGCAAGGAGGTGCTATTCCTATTCTTCTTCTGGAGAAACGAAAGAGAGCTTCAAAACAGACTGCAGCGCCATCTGAAGCAAAGAGCGGACTTCCGGCGGACACTTTTTTGGCTGAGTGGACCATCTTTGCCTTGGATCAAGGAGTTGTAACCTTCTTGCCTTAGATATCGTGATGTAAATTGATGATTCCGAACTCGTCTGTCCTTGGTTCAGATGTGCAAAAGAACGCAGCAAGAAAATTTCCTTATTTATGTTATGTAAACGTAGCGGAGGGCCGGGGTAAAGCGACTGTATTATTTATTATTTATTTTAGAAAAACAGGAAAAAAAACCCCTCCTTATCTGTGGAACAGAGACTGTGCTAAGAGAATACCTCGT